TCCAAAACCAAAGTATTAATTTTGCAATGTTTGAATTACATTAAAATCTAATTTCCTCACATATTAACAAGATTTACGCTCTAAACTGTAATAATCCTATAAACGATTAATGTCCTCAGATACATGCTGTCAATTTTATCTAGTTGATGATTGACAATATTAAGGAAACTTTTGATTATGTCAATCAAACCGCATGCAAAGAAGTACTGTTTCTCTATCTCTTCTCTTCGAGATAAATGATGCTGATGGATTTGTTTCTCTACATGAACGAGAGTGTAGGTTGATAAGATAGATGATGCATGGAAACAACAACTCAGCTATTATATACATATGTTGTTTATATATTTCTCTGGTTGTAATCGTTGACTTGTTGACATATAATTAGTGTTATAAGCATATTTCATTAATTAATGATTTATTTTGTTGCATAATGTTACTAGTTAAGGTAAAGAAAAATATAATTTTTGTATTAATCATTTACAGACGAACGGCGGATATATGCGCCATATTTTTACACAAAGGACATGGCTTATGCAAAATTGTTTCCAAGGCCACTGTGGTGGTGCAGTCATCGAGTCTTAGATCTAAGCGAGAAACTAGTCTTTATCAGACCGAGTCGTATAAACTTTGACGTTAGTTCTGTGGAAGACACTTGTGGCACAACATAATAACAAAAAGCAGTTACGTAAAAACAAAGGGTTAATAATAAATATTTGTTGACATGCTTGAGTATTTTATAGTATTTATTATTAATATTGAAATAACTAGTTAATCTATTGAATATCTAACATATTACTTTTGTTATTCGATAAAATATTTCAGCCTGTATTAAATAATATAAATGAACTATTACTATATTTATTGTCTATTAAGTATTGTTATTTTATAAAATATAAGTATTTTATATTATAAACTTTAATGGTAATATAAGATGTAAAAGGTTGTAACATGTGGTAATAATATAATGAGATTGGTGTCTGTAGTGATGGAGTAGTAAGAAACCGAAAGTTGGTTGTAGGGAAGTTCTTCCTTCCTGGCGTAGAAAGAAGGGCTTTTCCTTTTCGGCGAGGTGTCTCTGTGTGTGTGTGTATATCGTGAACTGTGAACTGTTACTATATTTATTGTGTATTAAATATTGTTATTTTATAAAATATAAGTATTTTATATTATAAATTTTAATGGTAATATAAGATGTAAAAGGTTGTAAAATGTGGTAATAATATAATGAGATTGGTGTCTGTAGTGATGGAGTAGTAAGAAACCGAAAGTTGGTTGTAGGGAAGTTCTTCCTTCCTGGCGTAGAAAGAAGGGCTTTTCCTTTTCGGCGAGGTGTCTCTGTGTGTGTGTGTGTATATCGTGTAAATAGTAATCGAGCTTGCGCGGGATTTCAATGCGTTGATCAAGGCGGCGTCATGGCAGAGGGTCGCAACAGTCCGCGTTTGTCCGTGAACCCGCGCGCGTTTTATCGGCGTGTCCGCCACGTGAGTGCCATGACGAAGTAGTAGGTGATCAGAAGAAGTTCATCGCGAAAAGCAAATATTAATAAAGAAAAATAAAGAAGAAAATATCATAAAGCGAGTCATATAAACAGTATAAACAAATTGAATTGAAGACTAGGAAGTTGTTACAAAATAAAAACAAAGTTGATTGTCGTCACCATGGAATTGTCGATGTTTATGTTGTTGGTGATCTGCGGATCGATCCGTGGATACTCCTGGCCCGGAGACGAAACTACGACGAGGCCATCCCCGAAGGATTTCCACTTCGATCCTCTGGTTGTGGAAACCACGAGCGGTTTGGTGCGAGGCTTCTCGAAGACGGTCTTAGGCAGGGAAGTGCATGTCTTCACCGGAATTCCCTTCGCTAAACCACCTATCGAACAGCTCCGTTTCCGGAGACCGGTCAAGATTGACCCTTGGCACGGAATCCTGGATGCCACGAAGTTACCCAATTCCTGTTACCAAGAGCGTTACGAGTACTTCCCCGGGTTTGAAGGCGAAGAGATGTGGAACCCGAACACGAAAATATCGGAGGACTGCCTTTACTTGAACATCTGGGTGCCGCAACGTCTGAGGATCAGGCATCACGCTGATAAACCTGTGCACGAAAGGCCTAAAGTGCCGGTGCTGATCTGGATTTACGGAGGCGGTTACATGAGCGGAACTTCTACTTTGGATATTTACGATGCCGATATTGTTGCGGCTACGAGTGATGTTATCGTTGCTTCCATGCAGTATCGAGTTGGATCCTTCGGTTTCTTGTATCTTAACAAGTATTTTGGACACGGAAGCGAGGAGACACCTGGTAACATGGGATTGTGGGATCAGGCTTTGGCTATACGTTGGATCAAAGAGAATGCCGCTGCTTTTGGCGGAGATCCTGATCTGATTACGCTGTTTGGGGAGTCCGCTGGCGGCGGTTCGGTCAGCATCCATCTGTTGAGCCCTGTGACCAAGGGATTGGCGAAGCGGGGTATCCTACAGTCCGGAACGATGAACGTGCCCTGGAGCTACATGACCGGTGAACGCGCCCAGCAGATCGGCGAGGTTCTCGTCCAGGATTGCGGCTGCAACGTGACCTTGCTCGCATCCAAACCGCAGCAGGTTATGGACTGCATGAGAGCTGTAGATGCTAAGACCATCTCTTTGCAACAGTGGAACTCTTATTCCGGTATCCTCGGCTTTCCATCCACACCTACTATTGATGGCGTCTTCCTCACCAAACATCCTATGGACATGCTGCGCGAAGGCGACTACGAAGATATGGAAATCCTCCTAGGAAGCAACCAAGACGAAGGTAATATTCCTCATTCATCCAAATCACTAATATTCAGCAAAATGAATACCATTATAATCAATACATCAAATATAAATCATTGTTAATTAACCAATTATACAAAAATAATATCATTTCCTTCTAAAAATACTAATTTTAAATATTTAATTACACAATTAATAAATCAATTAATAAAATGTATTAAAAATGTAAAAAAATTAATTAAACAATTATGGTTGTTATAAACATTAATTAATAACAAAAATATGATTAAATTGTGTATTTAGTATTAGTATTTAGTAAAAAAAAAACATTTTTTTTATCTCATTATGAAAAAGATGATAAATAAATCAATCTTTAATTTCTTAATAATTAAATAACTATAGTTTTTGTAACAATTATACAATTTTTTTCTATGATTTTTAAGTGATTTATTTTAGCTTCTTTGGAAATTGTAACTTCACAGAAAATTAAATTAATACATTGTATGCATGTTACTGACATATTTCAAATAATGCGCATACAAAGCTACCTTTCATGCAATTTGTAGCCTTCTAAATCCGTTGCAATTTCGTGAAATCCAACAAAAGTCTATGAAAACTATACGTTGTAGCATATCAGCAAAATTAATAAATCCATCTGCAACAATTTCTTATAATAATTATTGATTATCTGCAACAATTGGAAATTTATTGATTCATCATTTATTTCAAGCTAATAAAAGGTGTCCCAAAATTATCGCAAGATTTGAATTAAATAGAAAACGTAGTTTTTAGTCTTCAGATTGTGATTTTTTTATTGAATCGTACTGCACAAAGGCGGCAAATTCAAATCTTGCGTTAATTTTGGGACACCCTTTACAAATACATCAAAATAAATACATTTAAAATTACTTTTAACAAATGAATAATGTACAATTTACTGAAAACAAAACAAAAATTGTAACGTAAATATTAACAAATAATTTTATGTTTGTTTTTTTTTATTACTGTAAAATGAAAGCGTTGGGAATTCAAATTACAAACAAATACATTTTGTCGTGTCATTACCAGATTTTCCAACAAATTACACACGACCAGAATGTAACAGTATTTTCAATTTTCAAAATAAAATGAACAATTTTATTATATTTTTATACCTCGTTGATTACAAAATCAATTTTTGAAAAATATACTCAAAATAATTGGAAAATAAATTTACTTGATAAAAAATAATTCATACAAAAATTTAAATTTAAAAAAAGTACGAACTAAATTAAAAATAATTAAATTAAAAAATTAATTATTTTTTAAGTTAGTTTTTTAAATAAAATCATATTGATCTAAACAATTATATAACCTAGCACTTAAGTTAGTCGAATTTAGATGTTTTCAATGAAGAACAAGTAAGTAAACAAAATCTAAAGTACCTTTGTCGTACCTTTCAATATGGGATAATTCACTAATAAAGTGATGATTTTGATCTAAAGGATAAATCTGAAGAAGAGAAGGGTTATCAGGAAAAAAATTCTATCAAATGTTATTTTTGCTACAAGTAGTCAAGATTCATATATGATATCAATCTATGTACCATGTAGATAAGTAATCTGAATTATGGTATATTCGTAAGGTTTTATCATGAAATATAGTGTAACTAATTGATGATTAGTAAAATTTACTATCAAATACTACTATTATGTCCAGACTATGTCATACTTTTAGATATATACTAGGTAAATATATATAATTTGAAATATTCTTGTAGTTTCATCATGAAATGTAGTGCAACTAATTCATTGATGATTAGGAAAATTTACTACCAAATACTAGTATTATGTCATACTTTTAGATATATACTAGGAAATTTTATATAATCTGGAATATTCTTGTAGTTTCATCATGAAATCTAGTGCAACTAATTCATTGATGATTAGGAAAATCTACTACCAAATACTACTATTATATCCTCACTATATCATATATCTAGACATAAACCAGGTAAATATATATAATCTAGAATATTCTTGTAGTTTTATCATGAAATGTAGTGCAAATTAATTAATTGTTGACTAGGAAACTCTACTACCGAATAGTACTATTATGTCCTGAACAAGTCATACTTCTAGATATACACTAGGTAAATACAGTGCAACCTCGCTTAATGAGCATAATCCGTTTCAAAATTTCCCTATTTTTACTCGTGTAATGAAACAGTTTACCTCATATAAACTAATGTAATATACGATAATTATGGCTTCCATTTTGGAGTCATTTTTCTTACAATTTATTTTGCTCATTAGGCGAAATGCTCGTTATTCGAGATGCTTTTAAGCGAGGTTCTACTGTATATATAATCTGGAATATTCTTGTAGTTTCATCATGAAATGTAGTGCAACTAATTCGTTGATGATTAGGAAAATCTACTACCAAATACTACTATCATGTCCTGACTATGTAATACTTTTAGATATAAACTAGGTAAATATATATAGTCTTGTAGTTCTATCATGAAACGTGGTTTTATATTTGTGCAACTTAATGGTCTATAACTAGGAAAATCTACTACAATGTATGTTCTGACTAGATAGATATATTCTTGAAGTTTAAACTTCAAATGTACTTATAAATTTGTAAAATTTATTGAGAGATCCACAGATTTAAATAGTTTATATTGCTTTTAACGAGCATTATCAGGCTGTCAGCGACAAGTACAATGGCCCACCAATTGGTCAGCCTACTGACCACCTGTGCTGTCAATTACTGTTGTCATTACGTCCGAAGCGAGGGTAGATGTTTGTGTCTGTGCCTGCGCCTGCATATATGTATATGAATCAGAGCGAGAGAATAGAACGAGATGGGTGCAGAGTACAATAGCTCATCGTTGGATAAATGGCGCGGACAGAGCATTAATTATGAATACATTCGGACAAATGAGTGGGAGGCGCTGGACATATTCCTGGACCTAGTCCATCCGCCACCCCACAATTTCCAACCACCCCCTCTTGCGTCTCTCTCTCTCTCTCTCGCCATCCGAACAATTTCCATTGTACCAATCGCCGACCGCTATGTCATCATCATCAAAATCGATCAGCCTCGACCGCCACAAAGACCATATGATATCTCTTCATTATTCCAAACGACAACAAACCCGGAACGAGAGAGAGTTGACACACAAAAAAAAAGAACCATCCATTGTTACCTTTTGTGGTGAATCACAAAGGACGCCGCGAAACAACAGAGCGATACCAGTCGTGTACCATCAAAGATAATAAAGATTCAATTATATTTTATATTCATTTACGATTGCTGCAGTTTGCTGCAATCCGTTTGATTTCGTTACACTTCGAATACTTCATCACAAAAGTAATGCTACAGGCGAAACGAATCATCCACAAAAACTAAAATTTAATTATACAATTGTATTCTTCATTAAAATTCATATTTAATTTATATAATTTTTACCAAACTTTTACATTTACTGTTTAAAGTGAAATTAATTATTTTACAACAAAACCAGAAATTTCGTCTATTCATTTTTCGTTAGTAAGTGAATATTTTTTACATTCAATTAAATGTTATTATTTTATTATATAGTGAACTATTTGTTCTTCTGTGTCTGAGTTCTTTTTTTCTAGTAAATTAAAAACACATTTAGTTCTCTAATATTTTGTGAAATACATTAAGGCCACTTGCCTTTCAGATTTCACCTATAAATTATGGAAGTATAGAAAATTGAAATAAATCATATATTTATATATTATACACTTTATTTCCATTCACAAAAATGTATCTTTTACAACAAACTAAACATTTAATGCGTTTGAAAAATAATATTTTTTAAATTCAAAACCTAATCCTAATTTGTGTCAAAGCTTAATATTTATATACGATTTGTAAAAATATATGATCGTTTTTCATTTGATAGCTTTGGTGAGCCATATCTCAGGATGTATGTGTTGTATCTTGTCATTCTATACTGCGACTTAAAGGCGTCATAACGCTTTAAAAAAAGTTTGTGTTTAGTGAATCCAGTTATGTGTTAGAACATTCCAAAATGAAGGTAAAACACAGAAAATTTTATACAGAAAACCATTTTAAACCATCTGCATAATGCTGGTCTCAAGAAGAAGCTTAATGTATGAGACAAAACGCGCAGAACTTTTTCTTCCCCCAATATAAGAGTAACATAAAATTTTACATAAATAATATTAAGAAAAAATAATTATTTAATATTGAATTTTCATGAATTGTATTAATTAGTTTCACGTAGAATTATTTCAATTTGTTGTAGAAATAAATCAGTGAAAAAGAGATTTTTTTTTTTTAATTTATTGCACAAAACTTTAATTCTGAATATTATGGTTTAGTGTATAGGAAATATAAAGTTCACTTATATTGGATAATGTAGGATGTAAAGAAGAATTTAAGGAGGAAATTGAATTTCATCTACGACAAATGTTTATGTCACCGGTTTTCGCTCGCAGCAATATTGCAAACTCGGGAAACTTTTCAGTTCTCCCAAGTTAAAGCATATATGTACACTTTGCTATAATAAATATAACATAAACTTAATAACTTAAGATGAAAATACTTATAGGAAAAAAAAGATTGAAGAAATTATTAATAAAGAACTAATTCTAATTAATAGAAAATTGTTATTATTATAAATTATGAAATTATTCACTTTTATAGTAACAAATATCTTAAGAATTTCATAAAATTTAAAGAAAAAAAAAACTATTTACATAGGTTTTAAGTTTTGTATTTTTTATAGATACTTATCAATAAATTTACGAGTGGACTGGATTTAACTTTTAATATTGGATATTCACCTGGCAATAATTTTTGATTATTAGATCAATAGTGAAAATAATACCAAAGTCTATTTAATAAATATAGTTACAACATAGGTTGGACATTTTTATTGAAGCATTACGTAAATTATTAATATATTGATTATTAACTATATTCAATGAATTGTTGATTTTTCTTAATCTCAAGATAATAAAATTTAGTTTATTTTTTAGTTTCAACAACAAAATCATTGTGTAATTGATGAAAGTTTTATAAAAAGAAAGTAATAGATACTTCATATTATGTTTTGGTGGATTTCTAGGTGAAGTGATGTAATATGTAGTCGTCTAAGCAGACCTCATCTTCATCACGCTTTTCCTCCTTCTTTTTGTGGTTATTAGAAAAGTTAGGTGGGCGCGATTTAGTGCAGAATATATAAAGTTATTTAATAAGAAGCACGTGTATCGGATCGCAATATCCTTGCCGCCTCCTCCTCCTCCTCTATCCAAAAAGGCCGCTGCAGCCGCCTTCTCCTCCCATCCCAAGCCCAAAGATTTATCGCGCACTTTAATGAAAATACGCCGAGAGAACCAAAAATTATCTACCCTGAGGGATCAAATTATAAATATAAATATCGCCTTGCATCATTACTTCCATGATTATCCTTTTTTTATAATAGTTTCCTGCATTTTTTTTGTATTCAACCTTTGTTATCCTGCTTCTGCTGCTGCGTTGCAAATAGCGACGAGGACTGAATACAAATATAAAGCGACCCCCAGGGGCAAATCAATTGTAACGAAATTACAGGCCTACAACAATTCGCTGCAATCAGCCAGGTGCATTAATTGCGATTCGATTATTATTTCGGGATTACCGAGGCTTCAATAATACAAAACAAAAATGTATGTATTTGAAACAAAACAAAAAATATAACATTCGTTTGCTGCATCCAAAGGCCGTATCGCTCATCCCCTAATTAGGATGTTAATAAATGATTAAGCCGTTTCCGAATAATCGATTGACCTCGAGTTTCTATATATGGAATGTCTACGTCGACGACGATTCAATTATTTAAAAAGCCAATATTGAACGTTAAGTTTACATTCATAATACCATCATCATCATCATCATCATAACCAGTAGAAAATAGGACATGATGATCAGAGTTTAGGTGAAAATTATATGAGATCATAAAAATTCTGGAGCGTTCTCCAATTTCGCCTTCTTGATCTAAATTCTCAACCAGGTCTCCTCTCTTCTTTCTTCTCTTTTCATTCCTGTTCGCACTTCCGTCTGTTCATTATCAACCCTCCTCCTCTATACTAAATGAAAATATCCTCATATGGAGTTAGCATCCTCGCCACGAACTATATTAGTTATTCCGGCGGAGCTTTAAAGGGCGTAACTTTTATCACTGCTGTTGAAGAAGAAGTTGCTAACTTTGATATTCTTTTAAGTAAATTGCATTGCGCACTCCGACAAAGACGAGCAGTTTATTTGAGCGATTTCATCTGGATTATCGCAATCAATTATGGAGTGTTCATTAAATATGCATGGGTTACATTTAGCTTGTAGTTATTTGCGTATTACCTTGAGATTTACTCGACTGCAACTTTCATTAAAACGTAATTGATTTATTACAGAAATAGTTTTGTATCAAACTTTATACCCCATTAAATTAATAATTTTAATATTTAGAATACTCAATCATAAATTGACTCTTTTTTAATTATTTGGAAATTCATTTGTATTTAAATGAAATTAATAAAGAAATTTATCAATTTAATTTTAAAATTAAAGATTTTGAAGTTTTTTTTGGCTTACTACTAAATTCAATCTCAGCAACTTAATAAATTGTAATTTTTATTTTATAAACAAAAATCACATACATATACAAAAATTGTTATATAATCTTTATTGGTGAAAATTTAATGAATGACAAAATATAATAATATTACAGAAAGGATAATTATAGTACGAAATGGTGGAATATTTCTTTTTCATATTGATTGAAGAGTAAAGTAAGTTTTCTTTATTACATATTTACATTTACATTAAGAAACAACGAAATTGGTACCCGGCACATCCACCATAAAATTGGTCACGCAAATAAGTTTTTATTTCAGGATTTATTTATAAATTATTATTTTTTATTTAATTTTTAATTATAGTATAATGATATTGATGTATCTTCATTGGAAAATCACCTGTGCTAATAAAGTAGCCAATAAAGTGTCTTTATGGCTTTTACGAGTTTATGTGTTAAAATCCTCGTTTTTTTTGCTGTGTACGTTATGACCGCAGGGGAGTGAAATAAATATATAAAAAAAAGATGTTCAAGGTGGATGTGGGATTGGTTGTGGTGGGTAGCAGAGAGGATGGAGGTAGATAGAGGAATAAATATTTGCAGGGTGTTTTCCTCCCATTAGGCCGTATGTTTGTTTTAAGGTCATGATCGATTTAACAAGCACGAGGCTCTCTCCCTCTCTCTCTCTTTCCCTCCGGAATCAGACCCCTCGCAGTTGGCTGGGGGGTTGCGAAGGTGGACTGACTATAATAGTCGATGTGAAACGTGATGATATATAGGTCTTCGGAGGTCGAAGGTGGAGGCGCCGGGCTGCGCCTTCCCCTCCTCGATGGAAAGACTGCGAAGGCTCGTTTCCCAAAATACACACGCAGTCGCTCACAATGATACATTCTTTTTTCTGATACATCTACACAAACGCAAACACGGGCAGATCCTTCTGTTTGCTTTTGCATGCGACGAAATAAGGAAACATTCAAGACCAGGCGTCTACAACGATTTTTTTTTGTATATAAATACATGAGGAAGAAAGAGATAGGGTTGAAGGAGTGTCTTCCGATAAGTTTCCACTTCACTTGATTGTGTAAAGCCCTGGAAGGGAAAACCCGGGTTAAAGGAGAAGGAGAGAATCTTCTGGGCGCGCAGTATCTGTGAAATCTTCGGCTGCTTTTTGCTCGCGCTCCGAACTCAACTGGTGGCTTTTCAGAGATTACATCGATATCTGGATGAAAAATAGAAAAACAAAGCGCGAGAACAAAAACAACAAAAAAAAAACAATTGATGCTTGAAATAATTCAAAGAACACAGTTTATATAACATATTGGATTGTTCGGAATATAATTTCGTATTCGTCAATTTTCGATTGATCTTACAAATTTATTTTACAATACTTACTAAATTTTGACCTGGAACTTGATGATTTGATTGTCATATGTTTCGAACATTGTTACTGTATCACTAAGGAAAATTATCTTTAGGTACTTTTCTTTTATTGAAGATAATTTACTAACTAATGTTAACTTTAAGTTATATTGAAATAAGAACACAGAAATAACTCGAACAGTACGGATTTATTGTACTATTGTACTGTTTGAAAATTAAGATCAAAATAAGATCATAAATAGAAGAAAAAAATGGAACAATTAAGAAAATCTATGCGATTTGTTTCTAAATTATATATTTGCTGGTTTCGATTCATCTAGTTATTTTTTTCAATATTAATTGCATCAAATATTTTACTTTGTGTATGTATAGTGAATTTATGAATTAATTTATAGTTTGTATTTGTCATTGATGTAAATTAATCTAAATTAATGTAAATTAACTGTAAATACATAATAATGGTGTATTTATATAATATTTAATACAGCATAGTTAAATAATAATGTTGAATTTTATATTAATATTGTAATATTATATGACACGAGGAAATTAATAATTCAGTAATGCAAATGAATTTCGTTGTGAAAATGACAAATTTAAATAACAGAATGTTTGAATTTTGTAATACTTTAATAAATACAGTATAACCTTTTTTGTGCGATAGATAGGAACCGCATAAAAGAAATCGCACAAAAAAAAATCGAAATTTTCATAAATTCTTACATATAAGAAATAACTTTATATAATACATTAAAGAAACTGTTATGATGTGGTGGATAGGAACCGCATAAAAGAAATTGCACAAAAAAATATTGGAAATTTTCATAAATTTTTACATATAACAAATAACTTTGTATAATACATTAAAGAAACTGTTATTATGTGATGGAGAGGAACCGCATAAAAAAAATCGCGCATAAAATATACGAAATTTTCATAAATTCTTACATATAACAAATAACTTTGTATAATACATTAAAGAAATTGTTATTATGCGGTGGATAGGGACCGTATAAAAAAATCGCAATTTGAAAATACGTCAAAGATTTACGAAATACATGGGAAACAAATTGTAGATACGGAAAAATTTTCAACATGCACATACATAATTCACTACTACTTTCACTGCTAATCCAAAACGCACATTTTCTTGTGATGAATTGGTTCAAAATAGACTAACAGAATCATATGCACACTGATAGAAAACATTACAAACGTCATTAGAATTGGTTCGATTTCATATACCGCATAAAAAAGAACCGCACAAAAACAGGTTCTACTGTATTGTTTTGCGAAAAGTGAAAATATATAAACATAATCATTTATTTTTCTGTATTTTGGAAATTAATTCTTATATTAAAAGGTCAATGAAAATTTTGCAAATAA